ACACAAAAAGCACAAATTAGGAGAGATCGCCTACGGACTCTTAATGACTTTCAAAGACTGTTAGGAGACATTTCCAGTCTACGACCAGCTATTGGAATAACACCTGATTTAATAATTCATTTGAACAAAACCTTGGATGGTGATAAAGATTTAAACAGTCCCAGAGAATTAACAGCTGAAGCAGAAAAAGAACTGACAATGATTGAGGAAAAATTACAACAGGCACATGTGGACAGGGTGAATCCAGAGCTCGATTGTATTCTCGTCATACTACCATCAAAAATTTCTCCTACAGGAATTTTAATGCAGAGAGATGATATTATTTTGGAATGGATCTTTTTACCACATAAACCAAGTAAGAAACTGAAAACTTATGTGGAAAAAGTCTCTGAGTTAATTATAAAAGGCAAGCTGAGACTTCGTCAACTAGCAGGCATAGACCCAGCAGAAATTATAGTGCCTTTCACTGCTGATGAACTAAAGAAATTATGGGAAGATAATGAACCATGGCAAAGAGCTTGTGCTAATTTTTTGGGAGACATTAATAACAACTATCCAAAAAGCAAGCGGCTTAACTTCATAAAGAGAACTTCTTGGATTCTTCCTCGAATCGTCCGTGATGCTCCAATAACTGGAGCCCGTACATTCTATACTAATGCCAATAAATCAGGGAAGGCAGGTTACAAATCAGAAGACTTGGATAAGGTGGAACAAAGTCCGTATACTTCTGTCCAGAAGGCGGAATTATATGCCATTCTTATGGTGCTAAGGGATTTTAAAGAACCTATTAATATAGTTACAGATTCACAATACGCAGAAAGAGTTATTTTACATATTGAAACTGCTGAATTTATACCTGATGATACTGAACTAACCTCATTGTTCCCCCAGGTTCAAGATTTGATCAGGAACAGGCTTTGCCCTATGTACATAACACACATCTGATCCCATACGGGTCTGCCAGGTCCTCTAGCACAAGGTAATGCAGAAATTGATCAATTATTGATTGGTAGTGTGCTACAAGCCTCTGAATTTCATAAAAAACATCATGTTAATAGCAAAGGTTTGAAGAAAGAGTTTTCAATTACATGGCAACAAGCTAAGGAGATTGTAAAGAAATGCTCTACTTGCTCTTTCTATAACCAAATGCCACTGCCTGCAGGGGCTAATCCAAAGGGCACCCAAAGGAATGAAATCTGGCAGATGGATGTGTTCCACTTTGCAGAATTTGGCAAATTAAAATATGTACACCACACCATAGACACGTATTCAGGTTTTCAATGGGCTACTGCCCTGAGCTCAGAAAAGGCTGATTCAGTAATCACACATTTATTGGAAGTTATGGCCATCATGGGTATACCTGCGCAAATAAAGACAGATAATGGTCCAGCATATGTATCTAAGAAAATGAAATGCTTTTTTGATTATTATAATATAAAACACATTACAGGTATACCAAATAATCCTACAGGTCAGGCAGTTATAGAAAGATCAAATCGTACTATAAAGGATATGCTGAACAAACAGAAAGGGACTGAAAATACCCCCAGAAATAGATTACATAATGCTTTATTAACCTTGAATTTTCTTAACGCTAATGAGAAAGGAACGACAGCAGCAGAAAGACATTGGATAATGGAAAAGTCTGCTGAACTAAATCAACCGATTTATTTCAAAGATGTGCTGACCTCTCAGTGGAAGCCAGGAGATGTGCTACATTGGGGAAGGGGTTTTGCTCTTGTTTCCACAGGAGAAGAAAAATTGTGGATACCATCAAAATTAATAAAGTTTCGATTTGAAGAGGAGAAACCTCTTGGAAAGGAGAAATGACAACTCATCCACAATGATGATATTCATACAGGTAGTAAGAAAAACATAGAATGGGGGCAGGGTTCTGTTCTTATCTCCACAGGAAAACACTCATCTTTGAGAAATTCAAGGGACCCTGGATGTTTGGATACTGACAGATGGAAAAATACCTGCCCAATAGGAAATATCAAGACAACTGAATGGGTTGTGTAAGTAATATTAAACTATATTTCTAAATTTATAAAGCTGGTTTTGAAGTTGGACTCTGGCTCAGTCCCTCTCCAATTCCAAGCCTGTTAGTAAGAGAAAAACCCAGAGTTTCTGGAGTTTCTGTCTCATGTCAAGAGCCATGATATGGGACAGAAAGAAATATGAGTTTAGAAAACATCTTTGCTTTTCTTCATATCTATCATACTTTTCATTGAATATATCTATCATGTCTTTCATTGAATATATATATATATATGTCTATATATGTCTATATGATTAATGTTTAAGTTTTTCATAATGAACAATGAGTTTTTCCTGAAGTGACATTTGAAGTTTCCAGGAAGAAGATGGGGCCCCATAACAACAACTCCACCTGGTTGATATGACGTCATGATACTGATAGCGCTACTACAAGACCTGCTTTGGGTACCAGCTGCACAAGACAGTTCCAACTTGGTTAGCTGAAATGGTGCACATCTTATACAACATTTTGGCCAGACCTGCACGAAAATACTCAGAGACTATTTGCAATTTTAAAAGACATTATCTTGAAATTTAACCATCATTTTACTTTCACAGGATCCCCCAGAAAGAACGTCGCCCCTATGACAGCTGGAAGTAATTCTAGAGAACGACGTCCCCTCTCCCAGTAAAGTTTGCCCTTGGGTTTAGGGACATCATTTAGGGGTTGATTATAATTAGTATATGATTGAGGGTTGGAGGAGGAATTTTATAAGCTCAGGGATCATTTTGAAAAAAAAAAGAGGGATGATGGGATAATAGACAAATATATTGGTATAGATTCTTGTATATTGATACAAAGTTAAATTATATTGACTATTGTACGCATGCATGTTTCTACCTCTGTTTAAAACATTTTTATGTATTGGCATATATTGTATTGATATATATATATATATAGTATATATTTACCATATTGCAGTGTACATTTCTACCTCTGATTAAGATACTTATATAATATTTGTGTATTGATATATATTTACCTACTGCAATGTATATTTGTACATTGTTTATATTTGGAGGTCATTGTCCTCATTTGTTTCACAGTCATTTATTGTCTTAGTCTTTAAGTTAGATAGATATTGAGAATTATATAGACTAATTGTCATCTAAGTTTGTCATTTATAATTAGACTAGTCAGGTTCTTTAGATATATAGAGATTATACTCAGTATAGATAGATAATCTTCAACCTCTTCAAAGAGCTGTAGAAAATGGCCTTTAATCTAACTCAGAGTTTCGTGATAGTGAGACACAATTGCTCCTGGCAACACCGCTCTATTCCCGAGAGAATGTTGAGCACCAAAAACACTCCACCTGGAGCCTTTCTATTTGGCAGAACTGGCCTTTGGGCAAAGAAATGCCCATACCTCAACCACTGACAGAGATACAGAGCGTGCATCAATGGATAAAACAGGACTGTCATATCCTGCCAAGACAGGGTAAGATAGTTTTGAAAAGTTCCTTGCCTTTAATAATGGTATGTCAGTTATGTTAGGCCTTAGCCAAAATTGGTTGACTCAACGTTGCAAACGAGACTTTGGGTGATTGCCCAGGTAGTCAGTTGTCTCTGTCAATTGTTGCACATTTTGGATATATCTCGTTTGTTGAGTAGTGTTTATTCCCTTCTCAGATCTTTGACTGAGTTGAAGATTATTTAATTGTAGTTACTCTTTACATTATTTGGACTTCTTGAGATAGAATGTTTAGCAAAGCTTTTGTTCTCAATATTGTTTGTTGTATTTATTATTTGTTGTTATTGTATGTAGTTGTATTTGGTTTAGTTCTGTCTTATTTAGACAAAAAGGGGAGATGTAGGGATAAGTCCCGCCCCTTAGGGGGCGTGTTCACCTCGGGCTAATGTCTGCCTATAAATTTGGCGAGCAAGCTCCGAACTTCTCGCTTCTGCTTTCCTGGTCTCCGCGGGAACGGTGGTTCTGTAAGTCTATTTCTACATTAAAGCTATATATATATTTTTACACTCTGTCTGCATTTGTTTACGCCGCTACATTTCTTTACTTTTACAATTCTCACCCAAAACAATTTTCTAGCTGTCATTTAAAGCTAAACCTACACTGTCATACCTCAGGCCAACACAAACACAACACATAAAGTGGTAAAGAGCAAAACCTGGGAGCCTGTTTAACTGTGAACACCACTCAGAGATACCTGAGAAACATCTTGTTAGTTCTTCAAAAATTTTAAGTATCTCCAAGATCCAAATGTCGTGTCTTTACTCCTCTAGAAGGATGTTTTCAGATTGTAGTTACCTTTCTGTGTGTTTATATACTACATTTTAAAGTTCTTTCTTCCTGTTTTTATTCTACGTTTCTTAATGCTTTGCTTTTTAAAATTGCTTTTATAAAGCCAAACACATATCAAAGAGAAAATATAATACATGTTTATGAAATCCATAACTAAATTATTTAAAACTTGTTTTAGTGCTTTGAATAATAACAAAGATATCTAGCTTCAGAGAGTGTAGTATTCCAGGTGAGAAGGAAAGCATTATACAAATCAATGGAATAAAAATCTGATTCAAATTTGTATTTTAATATATTTGACTTGAACATTTCAAACATTATTTCAGGGGAAATTTAAGGCTACACCAGTGATTATGTAGGCATAGAAACTGTTTGGATCAGGATCTAATGATTCTTTTAAAAAACTTTTGAATAGAATAATGAAAACTGTATTCATAAACAGATATTTACAGATTAAGTTTGGGATTAAAGTTAAATAAGACAAAATACCCATAATTTAGAAGTTCCTCAAGTATGTGTGAAATTCTATCCAAAGGAAGGAGATTCTGATCAGAGCTGAGATTACAACAAAAGGAAAGAAGATCAATATGGGAAAACAGGATGTTCTGTAGAAGTTTGACTAAGAACTGATCAGCAAGGCAACGTGGTAGAAGTGTGGATCTTTTTTCCTGTAAGATTCCTTACCTGTTTGGATTAGATGTTTATGACATTGATGACAGCAGAATTCATCACTGGAATGCTGGGGAATGTGTTCATTGGACTGGTAAACTGCTATGACTGGGTCAAGATCCACAAGGTCACCTTCATCAACTTCATCCTGATCTGTTTGGCAGTTTCCAGAATGAGCTCCCTGCTTGTGGTATTTGTTGATGCAATTATATGGGAACTAGCTCCTCATGTCTATGATTCTTCCAGTCTAGCAAAATGCTTTGATATATTATGGATCATGACTGACCAACTGTCTATATGGTTTGCCACCTGCCTCAGCATCTTCTACTTTCTCAAAATTGCCCATTTCTCCCATCCCCTTTTCCTCTGGTTGAAGTGGAGAATGAGAAGCATGATTGTTGTTTTTCTTGCATTTTCTTTGTTCTTGATGATTTTTTATTTTCTACTGCTTGGAACACTTCCTATTTTCATGGAGATTTACATGATGGCTAAAAGCAATCAGACTCTATTTTCAGACACACACGAAACCATTGCTGTCAAAAACCTAATTGTTTTTCACCTGACATACTTGATACCATTTCTTGTGTCCCTAGTATCATTGCTCCTTTTATTTTTGTCCTTGGCGAAGCACTCCAGAAACTGCCACCTCATTTCCACCAGCTCTGAAGATTCTAGAACCAAGGTCCACAAGAAGGCAATGAAAATGCTGTTGTCTTTCCTCATTCTCTTTATAATTCACATTTTTTTTTCGTGCAGCTGACACGTTGGTTATTTATGTATTGTCCAATGACTAGCTCAGTTAATTTGGTTATGTTAACATTAGGTATCTTTCCTTTAAGTCATTCATATATTCTGATCCTGGGAAATAGCAAGCTTTGGCAGACAGCAGTGAGGGCCCTTCACCATCTTAAAAGCCAGCTGCAAGAGATGATCCTCTCCCTTCATAGATTCTCCAAAGTCTTTACTAAGTGACTAAGCTAATGGGGAGCCTCGGAAGGTCACTGTTCTTCTGCTGGGTTCTAAATACTGCTGAACATACACAAACAGTTCTTTAAACACACTACCTTTTCTGACAGTTTGCACATAGTCAGGCTATAAAACAGAAACCTATCCTTTTTGTTTCCAGCATTGGTAATCAAAACTAGTAGTCTCAAACATTTTAAACATTTTAACTATTTGAAGGAATCAAATAGTTAATTTTACAGGCAAAAGAAATGTAATAGCCATTAAGAAGGAAGGTTTGTTGATGTAGGATTCCCCTCTGTATGTTGTGATTACCATCAATGAATAAAGAAACTTCTTTGGACCTGTAGCAGGGCAGAACTTAGGCAGCGAAAACTAAACTGAATGCTGGAAGAAAGAAGATGAAGTCAGGGAGAAGCCATGTAGCCTTGCCAGAGACAGACACCAGAACATTAGTTGGTAAGCCACAACCTTGTGGTGATACATAGATTACTAGAAATGTGTTAAATTAATATGTAAGAGTTAGCCAATAAGTTGCTAGAGATAATTGGCCAAGAAGTGATTTAATTAACACAGTTTCTGTGTGGTTATTTCAGGAGTCTGGGCAGCCAGGAAATGAACAAGCAGCCTCTTTACAACAAATTGGTTCTCCAACATGGTTGACTATATCCTAAAACCTGAGAAAGCTTGGAAAGGAACTCTAAACACTAAAAAACAAAGTTTAGCTGCATCTCCCCCCCCCCCCACCCATGGGCTTTGCTTGCTGGAAACATGCTGTGGCTCCTTTAAGAGATGTCTTCCTGATTCAGCAGGGTTTCAAATGGCAGTAGATTGTGGCTCTTTCTAGAGTCTGAACACCTGAATTGCATTTGTAGGCATGGGTGCTTATGTGCCCACTTGGGGTCAGGAGCAAAGTAGCTGAGACCATGCCCATAGCTCAGCACTCTCTGCCTTGGGCAGGCAGTGGAATCAGGTCTGCTAGGCACGTACAGGGAGGTGAGCATGGCAGATTCCTGACACCAGACACTGAAATATTCCCAGACTGTACATTGTGCTGCATGGCAGATTTAGCTATTGCTCAGATAAAAAGGATTTATGTGCTGCATACTCCTTCTCAGAGTTAAAACTGGTGAGCACAGATCCTACCTGGAAGTCCCAGAGCTGGTGGTAATGGTATGTTCACCATTTTAAAAAGCAGACAGGTGGAGCCAGCACCCAGGGCCATTGTGACCAAGCTGCTTAGCATTTTAAAAGCTCTCTAGGACATAAAAGGATCACTAGATACATAGTAAATAGAAATTCAGATGAAAAAGACTTCTGAATGGATCACAGTGTTGGATAAATCTACATAGACTTGGGATAGAAAAAGAAAAAGAGTATAGAGAGTCATAAAAGGAAGTAAATGGTTTAGAAAAACCCAGTCTTTAAAGAGATAGACAGTCACAGATTAAAGCAGTAAAAGTAATAAAATAAATATTAAACATAGGGTAAAAAAAATAATAAGCCAAATAAAGATGGAAAATACACAGAGTCTGGTTATGTGTATTATTGTGCTTTCTTTGAATTTTTTGACTATGAAGAATTTAAGTAACCAACTTATATACTTTAGAGGTATTTTGTCATTGAAATATGGATCTAAGGATATGTTGCTTTGATAAAGAGGTTCTTCTTTTGTTTCCACAGAGGATGAGAACCTGTGTAATCCTTCCAGATTAATGTGGTTTGATGGACTAAGACTGCAGAAAGGTTACCGTGAACACCTCCAAAAATTACTTCACCCAACAAAAATCAGGAAGCAGTTTGGATAGAACTATGCCCAAATTCCCTAAATGATTGTTTATAAATGTTTGTTTACATTTAAAGGTGGATATGCTATAGAGATTTGCATTGGTAGGATCGTGGTTTATTGATACAAATTTAAGGTCAATTTTGTTATACTGTGTCTATCTATGCATATTTCTGCTCTTGATTAAGGTATTATGTTTGTACAGCTCATTTAAAAATGTAATGTATAATTAAGAAATACAGGTTAATAGATAATCATCTATAACAGTCAAGCTTCTAGTCATGTTAGTTAGGTTTTTCTAGATACATAGAGATATATTTCTGTTAGATAGGTATTCTTCAAATTTTTCAGAGACCTTCAGAATATGGCATTTAAAATTTTAATAGTTTAAGACTTTTCATGACAGTGAGACACATATGCTTCTGGCAGCACCAATTACTTAAAGAGGAAGATGGGCATCAAAGAGGCTCCTTATGGAGTTTGTTAACCATTTGGGCAGGAAACTGCTCTTGCCTGGACTGCTTGATGAACTGGACATGCAGGACCCACAGAGAAATGACTGGTGAACTTGCCTAAAGGTGAGACAATCCTTTGGGTTTCCTGTTTCATGAAAGATTCTGCCAGACATTCTGCAGGACACAGAAGAAAGCAACTGATGTACTTTTCCATTGAAAGGCAGAACAGATATTTAAAATTCCTGCTTCATGGAAAACTCTGCTGGATACTATGTGCCTGTTGGCTGAAGATTGGATGCCCCAACAACACAGAAGAATTTTGGATGACTGTTAGGGCAATGAGATGTCTTTGTCATTTCTAGAGTTTTGGAAGTTGCTTACAATGCATTTCCTGTTAATTTAGGTAATATTATATGCTTCTGGAGTCTTTGATGGAGTTGAAGAATACGTAGTTATAGTTTTTCTTAGTTATCATTAAAGGTAAAGTAGACATAAATATGATAACTGAGAATGAAAACATATTTGTGCATACATTTCATTGCAATCTGATTACCAGAGTTCTGAGTACAAGTCACAGTTATTAGATGAAGGAAGAAGATGAGGAGGGCAAAGTTTATAGTAAATGGCAAATTTAATGGGGAGTGTGGATGTGTAGATGTATTTGTAATGCTGTAATATTACATTGTATTATACAATGTAATATTATATTGTAAGTGTAGATATGATAGATGTAAATTCCAAATAAGAGAGTGGGGGAAATTTGCTATAACATTTTCATTGTGGTGGTGGGAATTATAATATTATACAGTTACTAGACATTACATACAATATACTAGGGGTTGCATTTGTTTAGTCTATATAGTCATAATGTAAAATAAGAAGCTACAATGATGATATATACTTGCTGGTTTGGCTTGGAGGAGTTATAAGTATGTTATTGTTAGAAATATTCACATTTTCTACCCAACTATATCTGAGCTGTGTGATTCTTTTACATACAGATGGTAAGAATGATGTTGACAATGGCTTTCATGATAACAGAGCACATATTTATTAGTAATCTCTATTTGATAAAGCAAAACATGTAATTTCAGTCATTATATTTTAGTTATCTTGCTTGGAAAATAAAATGGGCAAATTCAGCCTCAGATATTGACCTTGTTTTTATTTTAAAGAATTTATTTTATTTAGTGTTTAGTGTTACTGAAATTCGGTAATTAAGAGAAGCTAATGAAGTAAACTTGTGAGCAACTTTTGATTCTAATGAAATGTTTTTTTGGGGGAATGAGCTAACGAATAGCTAGGAGTAACCCATACTTAAGAAACAAACTTTAGAAGCTGGGCAATGGTGGCACAGCACTCAGGGAGGCAGAGACAGGCAGATCTCTCTGAGTTCAAAGTCATCCTGGTCTACAGAGTGAGTTCTGGGACAGCCAGAGCTACACAGAGAAATCCTGTCTTGAAAAAACAAAAACCAAACAACAACAACAAAAAAGAAACAAACTTTAGGAGAAAGAAGTATAAAGACTGGGGTTTTATTCTTGACAGTAGAAGAATGGCAAAATATCAGTAAATGAATCCCAGACCATAGCTAGGTTATTTAGTGAATGGTCTGCAATCCACATTTGAATGGCAAGTGACTCAAGTCCTGTGCCTCCATCATCTCCATCTGCCACTTTCCTGCCAGCCTCAGCAGCATGAGATCCTCTGCCAGCACATTGTTTCAAGTGGGTCACATGCCACTTTTTAGGTGGCTTCTGCTGGCAAAACCTCACTAGACCTTTTTTTAAAATGGTTGTTCACATTATGCAAAGTCCTCCCAAATGTCTCATTTTAGATACTCACAAGAAAAATTATATGAAATTCTGTTAAATGCATTTGAGAAACAAACAGGCAATCATTTTTGACTCCTGGTACACCAAATTTCATTTAGAGCTTTTCTAATTGTCTTGTGTGTGTTTGCTATAACAAAATTAATATATTCTCTGAGACTGATATGATGTCTAGTCATTCTCATTCTAACCCTATACTACATACTTCCTGTCACTGAAGAGCCTGCCCTTCTATGTTAGGCCAGCTCTACCTTACATTTGCTGTGAGGAAGAGACAGTGAAGGGTATTTGCCTCTATTTTAATTTTGTTTCCCCCTTTTCTGTGATAAAATATTCTGACAGAACAACTTAAAGGAGACAGAATTTATCTTAGTTCACAGTTCAAGGCACAGTCCATTAAGGCAGGAAAAAATCTCTATCAGGAGTTTGAAGTAGGGGATCACATCAGACCCACAACTGGTAAACAAAGACCTAAATTCAATTGTTGTTCAGCTTCTTTCTTCCAATGCACACAGTCCAGGATCTTCAATCCAGGCAACGATCCCACCCACAATTAAGGTATTTATTCCAACATCAATTAATATCATCAAGATAAGTCCCACAGCCATATGCAGAGGCCCATATCCTAGGTGAGAATAGATCTGTCAAACTGGCAATTAACACTAACCATCACATCCTTTGAGAATTGTGAAGAACAACTGTATCCCTCGGGTTTGAAAATGAAAGGGGTATGCTATTCGAAGTGAAACAGGAATCTACAGAGAAACACAAGTGGAGTATTTGTAGTCGACAGTGATAAAGTTGGGGAAATACACTTTACATGTGGGAGATGAATGTGACACTTAAAATTTTGTTTTTGGTCCCTGGCATAGCTCTTTGTGTTAGGATTAGCCCTTAAAAATTTAAGACATCTTACAACTTAAAAGTGCTAAAAGG